GGATGACAGTGTGGGTCACCTGTCAATCAACGAGAAGAAAAGGAGAAGGACTAACGTCCAGAGACTTCCCAATTTTGCATTTAAGTACCTGTGCACCTGTATGAAATTGCAGGACGTAACCCCACATCATTGCAGCGGTAAAGAACCTGCTTTCCTGTCATCGAGATACTACTCAGGGTGTTAATCTGTGAAGAACTAGCCAGTGGTGGTCACCAACACCTGCGACCCCCCCCCATCATCAGCAATGGCAACAATTTCAACAAGCAGTGTCACCAACACCAGACACCCAAGTGTTAAATTAGCGTTGAATTCAGTTATCATTTATATTTTTCCTTTTTCATTTTCTTTAATGTAGGATTAATATTTCATATTTAAGTGTTTTATATTTTATATTTTCTACATAATAAAGTGTTTTTTGTCTGTTATTATTTCTTTTTTATTCACAAATTTTTCCTGAGGAGGAGCCAGCCTGGGTAATACTGTTTTGAAGTTGTTACAGGCTGAGTAAGCCTTTCACATACCCTATGTAACTAAATTATTTTACCTCAAAGGACAAATAAGAGGAGATGCTCACATACTCATACCAGCCTTTCCCAATGTAGATGACTCTTACAAGGAAGCAGTTGACTTGTTGAAGGTCACTTATGGTAATATAGAACAAAGTAGGCTGGATCTAGTGAATATCATTGTTAATTTAAAAACTCCAGATCTCACTTACAAGGGTTTACAGCAGTTTAAAGTTAAACTGGAGAGCACTCTCGAAACTTTAAGTAATAAATATAATCTAAAGGAATCAGACTGGTTATTGAGTGCCATTGTACAGAATAAATTAAGCTGTAAAACACTTGAATGACTCTCGAACAAATATCACAAAGGTTAAGGTTATTTTGGTCTGGAGGTAATAAGACTAGGTCTACAAGAATTAATTGTTCAGTTGCAGACCAGTCACCCAACTCATTTTAAAGATGCAACACATAATAACTTTGAGGTATCTGTCAAGTTCCAAAAAAGGGAAAAATTATCCCAATAGTAATAATCAAAATTCATTTCCTAAAAATAGTTGCATAGGTACATATCAAGTAGCAGGAATCAGAAAGAATGATTCTCCACAAGGTAAGAAGAATAAGTACCCTCCTAAGAGTAGCCCAGTTAATAAGAAACCAGTCAAAGAAAAGAGAGATTGTCTCTTCTGCAAGGGTACTCATTTCTCTAAGAATTGCAATGCATGCAATTCATGGAATGATAAAGTTGAAAGATTGGAGGAACTTGACAGATGTATCAGGTGTTTAGGTAATCACAATGTAAAGGATTGTCATGCCAAATTAAACAACTGTTATCATTGTCACAAAGGAAGACTCCATCTAGTCATGTGTAAGGGTCTATATGACAATGTTGATAATGATGATAATGTTGACAATCCTGACACAACAGTGGCTAATGTAAAAATTGCTGCTGTTAATAATGATGGTTTTGCTGAAGTAGCCTTACCTGCGTTACAGGTAAAAATTGATGATAAAAGGCATAAATCAAAAAATGTAAATGCATTATTGGACCAGGGATCCCAGCGTACTTTCATAAAACGTAAATGTCTTGATGGTATGAAAGTACAGATGGGAGATCCCACAACCTTAAAATTATCTGGTTTTCTCTCAGATAAAAGAGCTCAATTGTATGACACTGTTTATATAACTGTCATGTTGGGCAATGAGAAGGAACGTGTTAATGCAGTAATTGTAGATAGACTTCCAGAAAAAATATCTACAGTAGGGCTTAGTAAAGCTACAGAAAGACTCTCACATAATGTAAATTTAGCACCTTCTGGTGTAAGTGATGATTCTGTAGGCCCAATAATATATTTTTATAGTGACTATTATGCCTCCTTTGTAAAGGGCATGGTAAAGAAATGTGGTGTCACCCTTTTGAAGACTGCAGGAGGCCATGTAATGTATGGTAGGATTCCTCGTAATAATAATTCATGACTAGAGGAAACTACAAATACCATAACTGTGTGTCTTACTCATGAAATCGTGCCCCAGTATAATTCTTCCATAGAGGATGGTGTGGAGCCAGTGCATAAATTGTGGGAATTAGACAGCATTGGAATAAATGTAAATGAAGAAAGTCCAGACGATTCTTTTACTCTGGAACAATACCTGAGAGATGTAAAATTTGAATCTGGACAATACTGGGTACGACTTCCGTGGAGACTGAACCATCCAGAATTGCCCACTAATTATAGAATGGCACATGGACAGTTAAAGGCTCAGCTCAGCGAACTGAGTAAGACACCAGAATTGTTACCTGACTATAATGATGTAATTGCTGAGCAGTTAATAAATTTATGGAAGAGGTACCTCCTGAGCAAGCCAGAATTTATGGTCAGTATTTGCCACATCACGGAGTGAAGAAGGATTCTAAGACCACTCCTCTGAGGATTGTTTAATTGTAGTGCAACGAGTAACAAAAATGTACCTAGTTTAAATGACTGATGACAGGTCTGTCGTTGACGAAAAAAATTAGGAGATATCTTATTAAATTTCAGGGTGAAGAATTATGCCTTTACGGCTGACATAAGTAAAGCTTTCCAAAGAATGGGTTTACAAGAGGCTGACCAGAATTGTACCCGCTTCTTATGGCCTGAGAATCCTAGTGACCCACTTAGCCCTCTGAAAACCTTTCGCTTTAGGAGTGTATTATTTGGTGCTACATGAAGTCCGTTCCTACTTCAAGCAATAATAAATGCACACCTTAAACGTATGGGAAGTCCATTAAGTAAAGTAATGAGTAAACATTTTATGTGGAAAATTTCCTGGGTGGGATGAATTGGTGATTATGAGAAAATTCCAATGTTGGAGTTCCCACGCCAGGTGGCCAATCCAAATCGGAAAAATGCACTCCACATTTTTTTGTGATGCTTTAAAATTGGCATATGGAGCAGTTGCTTACCTTCAATGTAGTAGTGTTATTTCTCTTGTTATGTCTAGGCTAAAATGTCTCCAATTAAATCACGTACCTTGCCTCAGTTGGAATTAACAGCCATTTATGTAGGTGTCAAATTAGCTAATTATATAAGAAATAACTTGCAGTAGATAAATATTAGCGACACTGTAATTTGGTCTGATAATGAGGTATCCTTACAATGGATTCGTAATGGAAACAGTAAAATTGTGTACATACAAAACAAAGTCGCTGAAATTAATCAGATGCAAGAGAAGTATAATAGTTTGGGTCCGCATATGTTAACATTTAATCATATACCAGGAGAGGAGAATCCAGCGAATTTCTTGTCTCGAGGTTTACCTTGTACTACATTTGTAAATGCTGTATCATGGCTTAAAGGACCGAGCTGGTTGGTAAATAAAGCTAATTGGCCTGTACAAAAGGCATATATTGCTCCTATTGAAATTACTCTGACCACCGCTCCAATAGTTTGTCCTTCCTTAGCCATTGATATAAATAGGTATTCCTCTTTACCCAAACTAATCTATGTAACTAAGTTTGTGTTTAAATTTCTAAACAAGATGAATATCTCATATAAGTTTTCACATCCTCTTGAATATTGGATAAAGAGAGTACAAGAAGAAATCTATAGAAATGAGATTAAATTGATGATGGAAAGAAATATTGTGAAAGGTTCCATAATAGAGAAATTGGGGCTGTATTTATAGAACAATGTAATTGGGTGCAGAGGTAGGTTACAAAATGCTGAATTTGGTGATTATGCTAAACACCCTATCTTACTGCCCAAAACTCATCATCTAACAAATTTAATTGTGCTAAATGCCCATAAAAATGTAATGCATGGTGGGGTACAAGATACCTTAAGTTGTATTAGGGAAACTTCTGGATTCCAAAAGGACGGCAAAGTGTGAAAAGGGTGATTAAATCTTGTGTAATATGTCGCCGTGTGGATGCCAGATCCTATATGTACCCAGGTCCTCCACCATTGCCAAATGAGCAATTTGAGTCGTTTAGCAACGAACTCTGCCTGGCCGCAGCGTGGAAAATACTGTATATATTTTCCAAAAATACAGTAGTTATATGTAAATAGATGGCCATACTGCATTTTATAAAAATTGTTATAAAAATGGGAAACTGCGCCTGCACAGAAGAGACTCGCCATTGTTGTTTTGAATTGGGTAACAGACGTTAGTTAATAATGTGAAGAATTTTCGTGCTCTAGAGGTAAAATTGGGTTGACACCTCTCAAATAGGAGCCGATATTGTTGGATATGCATTCCTTCATAAATTGAGATATCAGACGACTGAACAAGACAGCTTTTGGAACCTCAGATAAGCTATCTAGATTCGTGTTATAATTCTGGCCAGTATTTTCATAAATTTAGTTAGTGAGGTTTTCTGAGTATGATACACCTTGATCTCCAGTCAAATTGGTGAGTGATATTAAGATATTCTCCTTCTGTTATGTATATGTATATAATCATTTATTATTTTTAATATACAATCCACAAATTTATATATTTACCAGCATTCCTGGTGATATTTCATTTGTAATTAATAGGTCCAGAGCAACTTGTGGATATGACAGTGGTAGGTATCGAAGGGGGACATTTTTTGCGACCTAAGTGTCGCAAATTCCTACTTGTCTAACTGATAAATAATAATTATCTTTGTTCATTTTTTGTTATGTACATAATTATACATTCAGATAAATACAATTTTCCACACTAAGATTTAGGACCCAAATGAATGTAAGTCAATCTGACGTCTGTGGGAGTAACTCTAAACTGTCGAGATACATGGACATAGATATAAATAATAAAATATACAATATTAAAGAGATATATACCAACTAAACTGTTCTGAGCATAAGAGGCTATGCATAATCTTCTCAAATTCAACGAAAAACCTAGAGGATAACACTAGTTTTATTGCAATAAACCAAGTTTTACTCATCTAGTTTTTCCACTTTTATGCTCGAATATTATGTATTTCATAGTGATCAAAAAACTAGAGAAGAAAACAATCATTTGCATTACCTGTCTGGTAAACAAGTGTGGTTGCCAGAGTCTAGACGTGGATGGTGAGACTCCTGGTTGTTGGCCAGTAACTCAGTTACTCCCCTCACCTCTTGCTTCACTATCTCTGTTGACAAATTACAGTTTTGTTCATTGTTCAAAATATAAGGGGCTGCTGTTGTGGAAAATAGTATATTTTCCATAAATAGCGTATTTGTATGTAAATTAAAACATATTGTATTTAATAAAAATTATGTTATCAAAAATGGGAAGCCCTGCACCTGCGCAGAGGGGACTCGCTATTGTTGTTTTGAATTTGGATTAGAAACGTTAGTGAAATTGGAAGAATTTTCTTGCTCTAGAGGTTAAAATTGGGCTGACACCTCTCAAATAGGAGCCGAAATTGTTGGATGTGCATTCCTGCGTAACTTGAGATATCAGGCGACTGAACAAGACAGTTCCAGGAACCTCAGATAAGTCTGTTATGTTGTAACTCTGGCCAGTGTTATTTTCATGTATAGACATTGATGTTTTCTGAGTATGATACACCTTAATCTCCAGTCAAATTGGTGAGTGATATTAGGATATATTCTCCTTCTGTTATGTAAATTGTATATATATAATAATTTATTAATTTAATATACAGTCCACAAATTTATATATTTACCTGAATTCCTGGTGATACATATTTCATTTGTAATTAATAGGTCTAGAGCAACTTGTGGATATGACAGTTGTAGGTATCGAAGGGGGACATTTTTGCGACCAGGGTGTCCCAAATTCCTACTTGTCTATGTAACTCTGATAAATAATAATTATCTTTGTTACCATTTACTGTTATGTACATAAGAGCTAGATTCAGATAAATGCAATTTTCCACATTTAATTTGCCCATTGGTCCTTCTTGAACCGGAGGTAATTAGTGAAGTCATTAATTAGTTAATTACTTAATAATTATATGTGAAATGACAGAAGGAGGTGGATGTTAAGTTCACAAATTTACTTAGTGTGTAGTGGATTATAATTATTACAATATTAATTTGATAAGACAGTTTTGGCCAAGATTTATATCAGTGTATGTGTAATTGATAAGCCAAGTGTAGCTAATTATATTAATGTGTATAATAATTTTGTTATGCCAAATTCTGGCAAGGATTTATATTAATTTGTATAATATTAATTTTGATAAGCCAAGTCCGGCTAAAGCTTTGTGATAATGTACATTTAAAATTTATATTATAATTTTCTTATATGTGTAATTACTAAGCTCAAGTGTAGCTAACATTATTAATGAGTATTTAAAATTTATATAATTTTCTTACATGTGTAATTACTAAGCTCAAGTGTAGCTAACATTATTAATGTGTATTTAAAATTTATATTACAATTTTCTTACATGTAATAGCCAAGCTCAAGTGTAGTTAGGATTTATTCAAAGGTAAGTTGTAATCATTGTTATTAATTAAGTTGAATTTAATACATTGCATCATGGCTGAAAATGAGGAAATTAATGTAAAAGACAAACATATGGAATATAGAGCAAAAAAAGCATCACTGCAAGCTAGAAAGGGTCATGTAACCAAGGCATATAAATGTTTGGAATTAATGAGTCAAGAAACTGTAAATACTGATGATTTAAAATTGTATTTAGATGCTTTAGGGAGTAGATATGATTCATACAAATTATATTACAACAAATATGAAGGAGATTTGTTAGTAAACTGTATAGATGAGACTGAAGTAGATCTTATGATTAACCAGTATTATGAATTAGAGGAAAAAATTCTTGTAAAAGTCAGGCCTTGAATAAATTAAAATGTGTAAACTAGGCAGTTAATCAGACTGCTCTAATATGTCTTTGCCAAAACTCCCAGAATTATGTTTACCTGTATTTAATCCTGGAGAAAATTGGGAGGAATTTTGGTCAATTTTTAAAGCAGCTGTGCATGACAGGAGTGACCTAGCCTGTGTAACTAAATTATTTTACCTAAAAGAACAGGTAAGAGGAGATGCTCACATACTCATACCAGCCTTTCCCAATGTAGATGACTCTTACAAGGAAGCAGTTGACTTGTTGAAGGTCACTTATGGTAATATAGAACAAAGTAGGTTGGATCTAGTGAATATCATTGTTAATTTAAAAACTCCAGATCTCACTTACAAGGGTTTACAGCAGTTTAAAGTTAAACTGGAGAGCACTCTCAAAACTTTAAGTAATAAATATATTCTAAAGGAATCAGACTGGTTATTGAGTGCCACTGTACAGAATAAATTAAGCTGTAAAACACTTGAATGACTCTCGAACAAATATCACAAAGTTAAGGTTATTTTGGTCGGGAAAGGTAATAAGACTAGGTCTACAAGAATTAATTGTTCAGTTGCAGACCAGTCAACTAACTCATTTTAAAGATGCAACACATAATAACTCTGAGGTATCTGTCAAGTTCCATAAAAGGGAAAAATTATCCCAATAGTAATAATCAAAATTCACTTCCTAAAAATAGTTGCATAAGTACATATCAAGTAGCAGGAATCAGAAATAATGATTCTCCACAAGGTAAGAAGATTAAGTACCTCCTAAGAGTAGCCCAGTTAATAAGAAACCAGTCAAAGAAAAGAGCGATTGTCTCTTCTGCAAGGGTACTCATTTCTCTAAGAATTGCAATGCATACAATTCATGGAATGATAAAGTTGAAAGATTGGAGGAACTTGACAGATGTATCAGATGTCTAGGTAATCACAATGTAAAGGATTGTCATGCCAAATTAAACAACTTTTATCAATGTCACAAAGGAAGACACCATATAGTCATGTGTAAGGGTCTATATGATAATGTTGATAATATGATAATGTTGACAACCCTGACACAACAGTAGCTAATGTAAAAATTGCTGCTAATGTTAATGATGATGGTTTTGCTGAAGTAGCCTTACCTGTGTTACAGGTAAAAATTGATGATAAAACGCATAAATCTAAAAGTGTAGATGCATTATTGGACCAGGGATCCCAACGTACTTTCATAAAACGTAAATGTCTTGATGGTATGAAAGTACAGATGGGAGAACCCACAACTTTAAAATTATCTGGTTTTCTCTCGGATAAATGGGCTCAATTGTATGACACTGTTTATGTAACTGTCAGGTTGGGCAATGAGAAAAAACGTTTTAAATTTGCATTTAATTGTACATAGACTTCCAGAGAAAATATCTACAGTAGGGCTTAGTAAAGCTACAGAAAGACTTTCACAATGTAAATTTAGCACCTTCTGGTGTAAGTGATGATTATGTAGGCCCAATAAATATTTTGATAGGTAGTGACTATTATGCCTCCTTTGTAAAGGGTATGGTAAAGAAATGTGGTGTACCCTTTTGGAAGACTGCAGGAGGCCATGTAATGTATGGTAGGATTCCTCGTAATAATAATTCATGACTAGAGGAAACTACAAATACCATAACTGTGTGTCTTACTCATGAAGTTGTACCCCAGTATAATTCTTCCATAGAGGATGGTGTTGAGCCTGTGCATAAATTGTGGGAATTAGACAGCATTGGAATAAATGTAAATAAAGAAAGTCCAGACGATTCTTTTACTCAGGAAACAATACCTGAGAGATTAAAATTTGAATCTGGACAATACTGGGTACGACTCCCGGGAGACTGACTCAGAATTGCCCTATTACAGAATGGATAGGGACAGTTAAGGCTCAACTCCCCGAACTGGTAAGGGGCGCTAGAATTGTTAACTGCTGTAATGGTATAATTGCTGAACAAATTTAAATTTTAAAAAATTTAAAGAAGAGGTTTCCTCCTGAGCAAGCCAAAATTTATGGTAATATTTTCCACACCTCAAGTGAAGAAGGATTCTAAACCATCCTGAAAATTTTGTTTAATTCTAGTGCAACCCAAATAACAAAAAATTGTACCCAGCTTAAAGACTGTTCGATGACAGATCCGTCGTTCTGGAAAAATTTGGGATATCTTTTTAAATTTCAGGGTAAAGAATTATGCCTTTACGGCTTATATAAGAAGCTTCCCCAAGAGTGGGTTTACAAGAGGCTGACAGGATTGTACCGTTTTATGGCTGAGAATCTAGTGACCCACTTAACCCCCTGAAAACCTTTTCTTTAGGGCGATTATTGGTGCTACACCAGTCCGTTCCACTTCAAGCGACATAAAATGCCACCTTTAAAGTATAAAGGGCCATTGAGTAAGTAATGAGCAAACAATTTTATATGGACAATTTCCTGGTGTGACGTCAATGAAGAGAACTTTTTAAAGATTTTTGGAGGCTAATGAAATAAGGGAAAGTGCAATATGCTCTGAGGGAATGGAATAGTAATTGTCCCAAAATTAAGGAAAAATAAGTAAGATTACCTGGAGATGAAGTGTCAAAACGTAGTAATGTATTGGATTAACGTGGGATAAGAGAGAGATTGTTAATGTTAAAACTAATAATTTACAGTATTGCCCAATAAAATTTAAATAAGAGAGTTTTGCTTGCTGAAGTTTCCAAATGTTTTGATCCACTAGTTTAGTGTCACCCCTTACTATAAGAGGGAAATTTATTAATACAGGAAGCATGGAAACTTAAAAGTGTTGGGATGAAATTCTACCTATGGAATTCATTAACAGGTGGGTTTAATTAATTGGTGATTATGAAAAAAATTCCAATGTTGGATTCCCACGTCAGGTGGCCAATCCAATGGGAAAAATGTACTCCCCATTTTTTGTGAAAAGCTTCAAAATTGGCATATGGAGAGTTTTTACCTTCAATGTAGTAGTGTTATTTCTCTTGTTGTGTCAAGCTAAAGTGTTCCAATTAATCATGTTACCTTACCCCAGTTGGAATTAACAGCCATTATGTAGGTCAAATTAGCTTAATTAATAAGAATAATTGCAGGAGATAAATATTAGCGACACTGTAATTTGGTTGATAATGAGGCATCCTTAAATTGGGGTTCGTAATGGAAACAGTAAATTGTGGATGTCAAAACAGAGTATCTGAAATTAATCAGATGCAGAGAAGTATAATAGTTTGGTCAGCATATGTTAAATTTAATCATATACTGGTGAGGAGAATCCAGCTGATTCTTGTCTCGAGGTTTCCTTATGCTAAATTTTTAAAT